CCTGGAGCTCCAGCCCGGAGGCTCTGGTTCTCCCCACCAGCTCCCCTGACAGCTTTGAAGCCTTTCCTGTTCTGTCACAGTGGAAAGAGACTGTTAGAAGCTCTGCAACCCGGTGTTGTTGGGAGTTAAAGTAACTTTAAAGGCACACTTTTTTTTTTTTTTTTGACAGGGTTTCTCTACATGGCCCCTACTGTCCTGGAACACACTATGTAGACTGGGCCTTAAATTTACAGAGATCTGTCTGCCTCTGCCTCTGAGTGCTGGGATTACAGGTGTGCGCCTCCACTGATCCCCAGGTATCAAGTCAGGTAGGGCCTCTGGTCTCTGGAATACCAGCATTTGGGAGGAGACTGAGGCAGGAAGATTGCCAGTGAGTCTGAGGCCAATATGGCTGCAAGGCTTCTTCTGCCCTCAGTACTAACAGCCCAGAGCGGCTAAAGCCGGATTAGATCAGTATTTACAGCTGGCTTTCATTTTTGTAGCCCTGTGTGTTCTATCGATAACTTGCAGTCAGTCACTCAGTTTCCCCAAGCCTTAGTTTATCTGTTGGTCAAAGAGTTTTCATGAGTCTTAGATCATACATAGGTTCCTATGTCTCCAAATCCAGGTTCCTTTCCAGAGTCTCCTATCTCAGCGGCAAGACTAAAAACTCAACGCATCATTCTAGCTGCTCGTTGTTGGGGAATATTATTTTAAGGTGTGTGGCTTTTGTTTGTGCTGCGTTTGTTTGTGCTGTGATTCTTTGCCTGTTTAAAACACCTGATGGTCCTAATAAAGAGCTGAATGGCCAATAGTGAGGCAGGAGGAAGGACAGGCGGGGCTGGCAGGCCGAGAGGATAAACAGGAGGAAAAATGAGGAAGAGGAGGAAAAGAACAAGGAGAGGAGGACATCAGGGGCCGGCCACCAGCTAGCCTTGGAGTAAGAAGGGAAGTAAGAGATGCAGAAACAAGAAAGATAAAAGCCCAGAGGGAAAAGGTAGTTAGGTTAATTTAAGAAAAGCTGGCTAGCAACAAGCCACGCTAAGGCCGACATGCATAAGTAATAATAGTACTGTGTGATTACTTGGGAGCTGGGTGGTGAGCCCATCAAAAAGAAAAAAAGAGCCAAAAGAGTAAGAGCAAAAACATCATTCAATAGCCCATGGCTAACAAGAATGGAGCCCTGCTAATTCTTCCAGAATGCACCTGACTC